GCTGATCTCTCCAGTGCCACGGCTGAGACTTCACAGAATGGCTGAGGTGGACAGGGACCCCTCAAGATTGTCCAGTCAAGTACTAGGATCAGCAGGGGCTGGTTGTCCAAGACCATATCCAGCTGAGTTTTGAATATCATAATATATTAAGGTGTTGGAATGGAGCTTAGAGATCACCCAGCCCCAACCCCCTGCCCGGGGCAGGGACACCTCCCACCAGAGCAGGTTGCTCAAGGCTTTAGCCAACCTGGCTGTGAACACTGCCAGGGTTGGGGCAGCCACAGCCTCCCTGGGCAACCTGGGACAGTGTCTCACCACCCTCACAGCAAAAACCTCTGCCTAAGATCTAATCTACATTTCCCTCTTTCCACTTCTCCCCATTCCTCCTTGTCCTGTCCCTGCAGTTCCTAACCCAGAGTCCCTCTGCAGCTTCCCTGGAGCCCCTTCAGCTCCTGGCAGGTTGCTCTGAGGTCTCCACACAACCTTCTCTTCTCCAGACTCAACAGCCCCAAGTCTCTCATAGGGAAAGTGCTCCAATTCTCTGATCAGCTTTGTGGCCTCCTCTGGCCTTGCTCCAACAGTTCCATGTCCTTATGATGTTGGAGACACCAGAGCTGTGTGCAGTACTCCATACAGATGTGTCTCACCAGAGCAGAGCAGAGAGGGAGAATCACCTCCCTTGCCTTGCTGCCACACTCCTTCAGATGCAGCCCAGGATCTTCCCTAAAATATTTCCTAATATTCCTAACAGGACTATATTTCCTAATAGATATAATTTTCCTATTTTTCCTGTAATATTTCCTAAAATATTCCTAATATTATACCCTAAAAGCTTTTTTCTTAACTTACAGGTAGTTGTAGAGAGTGATGAGGTCACCCTTGAGCCACCTCTCCTCCAAGACTAACCAAACCCAACTTGCTCAGCCCTTCCTTGTAGGACATGTGCTCTGTCCCAGGGGTTCAGCCTTCCCTGGATGCACTTACACAGATCTCGTCGAACTTGCCGAAGTCCAGGGTGCCGTAGCGGTCGATGGGGGGACGGATGTACTCGCAGTAGTCGCTGTTCTTCACCATCTCCAGCTGCCTCACGCAGCACACGTAGGCCAACCGTGTCTGGATCTCGGCCATGTTCAGCACCTGTGCCCAGCCCAGACACACCAATCATGGTTAATGGGGAAATTGCATTTCAGAATAAGTTCTCTACTCACAGTGGAGGAAAAGCAGGTTAGCACAGAGGAGCCTGCTGAAGCCTTCACACATCAGCAGCTCCATCTGTTTCCTGGGTTGTGTGGACAGGCAGCCAATGAGTCTCCATTATCATCAGCAGAAAGGGAATTGCCTTCAAACAGATTTCTGCAGTGCAAGGTTGAACTGAGTCTTTTATTCCAGGATGTAGTGGTACTTTAACAACAGTATTTGTGCACAGTGATCCTTCAAGGCAGAAATCAGTGTTGTCCCATACCTGGAGTGTTCCAGGCCAGGTTGGATGGGGCTTGGAGCAACCTGGGCTAGTGGAAGGTGTCCCTGCCCATGGCAGGGATGGAATAAGATTAGCTTTAAGGGCCCTCCAACCCAAACCAGTCTGGGATTCCGTGATTCTCTGATCTCTCCAGTGCCACGGCTGAGACTTCACAGAATGGCTGAGGTGGACAGGGACCCCTCAAGATTGTCCAGTCAAGTACTAGGATCAGCAGGGGCTGGTTGTCCAAGACCATATCCAGCTGAGTTTTGAATATCATAATATATTAAGGTGTTGGAATGGAGCTTAGAGATCATCCAGCCCCAACCCCCTGCCCTGGGCAGGGACACCTCCCACCAGAGCAGGTTGCTCAAGGCTTTAGCCAACCTGGCTGTGAACACTGCCAGGGTTGGGGCAGCCACAGCCTCCCTGGGGCAACCTGTGCCAGTGTCTTCCACTGAAAATCTCCACAGATGGGCACTACCATCTCTCTGGTTGGCCTCTGTATCAGCACTACCAGTAAAAATATGTTTTCTGGTCTTCAGAAGGAATCTTATGTTTCCATGAGTGCCTATTGTCCTTTGGGCAGCTGGAATATTTCACTGGATATTACTGAGAAGAGTCAAGGACTTCCATTTTTCACCACCAAACACTCCCACTACACACTGGGAGCAGTAGGGTGACCTCTGCCAAGGCCCAGGGCACTGCACAGCTGCAGCAGCTCCAAGAGGCCACTCCTCAGGGACACCAGACCTTCCCAGGGAAGTGAGCTATCACAGAAGAAAACTTAGATTACAGAGCACTACCCACCAACTGGAGTATTTTCTCCTACTTTGGGAAGCACAAACAAGTATTTTAGTTCCAGTTCCAACTGAGGAATGTGCTAACTGCAGTTGGGAGGGAAGAAGAACAGTATTCACTTGGGGGACAGCTGCAGAGCCCAAGAATTTAGAAAATGCAGAAGAATAAGGAACAGAGTTGGCCTGAACCCATGCAACAAGAGAAAAATAATAATAAAATCATGCTCTGCAGCCTCACATTAATTAGCTGTACTTAATTACTGCCTAGTGCAAAAATCTCCCTAAACCAGCAGTCCAGAGACATAGAAGATGGAAACACTGAACTGGACAAAGTCACTTTTACTGAGAGAATGAATAAATTTTGACTTTATCAGAATTTATACAGGTCTAAAAAAGGTTTCTTTGCTCTAACAATTCTCCCAGCCCCTTCCCAGCTTGGGGTTCTACTCCCTCCTACATTACTGCCTTCCCTCTGGTGTCAGGGCACTGCCCAGATGGCTTCATCCATGAACACAAGAGCTCAAACCCACGCAGACCATGCTCTGTCATCAAACCTGCTCCCTGAATGAACAATGAGAAGCTTTCCACTCTATGGAAAACTATCTGCCATTTCACTACAGTTCACAATACCTTGACTTTCTCAGCCAGTGGATTCCACCTCTTCCAGAGCAGCCACCAGCCAGACAAGCAGTCGCCGTAGTTGGTGAGGTCTGTCTCGTCGCGGCTGCCCACGTCGATGGCAATCACCACCTTGGCACCCATGGACCTGGCAACATCAGCTGGGGGAGAAGGAGGTGTCAGTGCCACTGCTGCCCTTATGGACATAGGTATATAGCTAGATGTATGTATGTGGCTAAAGTATGTAACCTGAGAATGTAACCTGATATCACACCCACCACCAGTGTCTCTGAACAGCCTCGGACAGAAGTGGTCAGTCACCATCCCTGAAGGGATTTAAAAGATATGCAGATGTGGCACTTGGGGACAATTTCAGCCCAGAAACCAACCAAATCCTGAACTGCAGCCAGAGGAGTGTGGCAGCAGGTGAGGGAGAGAATTCTCCCCCTCTACTCTGCTATTATGAGGCCCCACCTGGAGTGCTGCACACAGCTCTGGTGTCCCAAACATCAGAAGGACATGGAACTGTTGGAGCAAGACCAGAGGAGGCCATAAAACTGATCAGAGACTGGAGCACCTTCCCTACGAGGACAGGCTGAGAGAGTTGGGGCTGTTCAGCCTGGAGAGGAGAAGGTTGTGTGGAGACCTCAGAGCAACCTGCCAGGAGCTGAAGGGGCTCCAGGGAAGCTGCAGAGGGACTCTTGGGTAGGAACTGCAGGGACAGGACAAGGAGCAATGGGGAGAAATTGAAAGGGGAAATTTAGATTAGGCAGAAGTTTTTGCTGTGAGGATGGTGAGACACTGTCCCAGGTTGCCC